TTGTATTGACTTTAACTTATAAAGAGTGTTTGAAGTTGGTAAAGGAAAGATTAAAACAGCCTTATCACGAACGAACATTGAAAACTGGACTTAAGGAACTGCAGTTGCACATAAAATCACTTACTCATTAGTTATCAAGAGAGAAGCTGATCTTAATTTGCATTTGGTAATGAAAACAATTGTGCACTTTGAAACTCAGTTAAAATTTCTTTTTGTGCAACTAAAGTTGAAAATGTACCTTTTAAAAATTCATTTTATTAGGCAAATTATGAAATTTCCAATCTGTGGACCTGAAGTACACAAAGAAGGTATTTTTTTTGTTTTATACAGTGATCAGACTGTTAAAAATGATATTGTTTACAGGAAACCAGCTTAAATTTCATTCAGCCTAACAGCAGAAGAGTAGAAAGTATAATACCAATTAGTTGGTAACATGATTTCTGATCAATAGTATCAGATGTGAGAAAGGTGGATTTTTTTTCTATGGTTCATAGTTCAGTTTTTTAAAAAATCCTCTCTAAAGAACTTTGAAATGCTTTTCAAATGGAACAAGAACTTGATTTGGAGAAGACTATGTATCAGGAAACATGGGCAAAGGATGCTGGGCTAGAGCATGTATTATTTATATGATGGAATTTATGTTTTTATGTAAGCATGAAACAGTACAGTATGAGAGAAAGTAACCCATGAAAATTCTGTCTGTTACACTTATACTGTAGTATCATTTTGTATGTTGTGTAAAACGAAAGCATTGAACAAAGCAAAGGTGATGTATGTATATGAGAAAATTAATTGTATTATATCATTCCAGTACATTTTGTTGTACATTTTAGTCATGTTTATTTCTCCCATTGTTTATAAAAGGATGCAGTTTGTACAGTCTCCAGCTAGTTACCCACATTAGAGAGAAAAAAAAGTATTAGAAGAAAAAAATCGAGAACAGAATATTCGTGAATTGCAGTTGTGTCAAAAATAGCCTAGCTGGCCTTATTTGTGAAGCATAATTGCTTTTAGCATATGGAAGTATTTTTTCACATTTTCTTTGTATAAAATTTGTATTAAACTTAAATATCTTTTTGATTATTGTGTTTCTTTGTGACTGAGACAGGTGACACACTCTATGCTTTGGGTTTCCCCAGATTTTCAGGAATCGTCACAATTTTTTATTAAACTGTTTTAGAAAAATGGTTTGTGTTCCTAGATCTCCAGTTTCCTTCTATCTGGATGTTTATTTCTGCAGTCTCCAGATCATGAAAATTTTCTTCATGTAGGATCTTCAGATTGAGAAGTTTGGCGGCTTGACCAATGACGAAGTCTAGTCCAGAATGAGAACAAAGCTGTTAGCAATTTGTCCAGTGAACTATGCATAAAATGTGCAGTTACCTTCATTTTTAATAGAGGTGTATTCCAGGGAGACTACAGCCCCAGCATCCATTGTTCTAACACCTGGTCACTTGGATCAGGGCTAAGCATTACATGCTATTTGTTGTCTCCACAAACTGTATCCATATGTTTAAAAATGAGGGTGGCTGTTGGTTATATTGTAGAACTTGTCAGGGGAGCCATATTTTGGCAACCCAGGTTTACAGACTTAATGTGCTCACTAATTGCCATATCCCAAATTAATATAATTAATAGAAACAGTCTTACCAACTCATGATTTTGTTGTGAGTCTCACAATATTTGGTGTCTGTTTAAAGCACCAGTTTCTGGAGTGATGTTATTACACAAAAGTATCGGCTTACTTTTTTTAAATAAAAGTGTCTAGCCCTCATGGTCTCAAAGAAAAGCTTTTAAAAAAGTGAACCCTAAAGGCTCAAAAAACAGAAAGCAAATGCCAATTCTCCCCCCATTACTATTTTAAAAGTCTCATTATTTTGAAGCCAATTTCATGTTTTGGGGCTTGTCTCATGATTTTTAATTGCTTAAGATTGATAATACTGTAAAGTTAAGAGTTCCAGAAAGAGGAATGCATTAGCAGGTATATTCTAGTTCCTGCACAGTTTTAACTTAACCTGCTAACATTTTAAAACTACAAACTTTTGTCTTCACTAAGATTTTAGCTCATGTTAGTTAATATGAGGTAAGAACATACCTTTTTTCCTAGTGAAGGGTAGGTCTGATTTTTAACTATTACTGAACAAAGTCATTATGTTGCCACCTTGTACTAATGTGTGAAAGGAAAAGGTTGGGTCAGTCTACATTGCGAAGTTGTGTTGGCATAGTTGTGTCGGTCAGGGGCATGAGGGGAAAAAAACCCACTCTCCCTAGCTGACATAGCTATGCCAGCAAAACCCTTACTGTAGATACAATTGTGCTGGCAGAAGAGTGCAGAACATGTATCTAGAGTTCTTCCCTTCTCAGAGCTCTAGCATAGGAAGCAGGGATGCTGACAGCAACTGGAGAAGAATGGGGCAAAACTGAGGACTATATCTGAAAAGGAACTATGATGGCTCTGAATTGTACTTAACATAAATAGCCTTGAAAAAAGCAAATTTGGTAAAAAGGACTCCAAACTAGTCTGTAGCTTTATTTCTCATTTGCCACGGTAAGTGGTGTGGTATAAGAACCCAGATGGATAGGTGGAGAAGAGAGCCCAGCATCAGATAAAGTGGTATGGGTAATTCATAGGTGGCATTGATCTGCCTATATTGACTCACTGCCTTCACATAGTGCAAGAGGAGACTGAGGTGTGGTGCACTGCTAAAGTTGCAATCTTGCATGAATGTAAAACCAAGGTGCTGAACATCTCATTAAAAATTATAAGGAGTGTTCCTCAACAATTGGAATTGTAGCTCTAGTGAGCTGGCCAATGTAGTCAGCTACTTAACTTCCCTAGGATATTCACTTTGTGGTGTAGTGGACAATCAAACAGCTGGTGAGCTTTACTCCAGAGGTGGCTGCATTTCAGTACATAGAGGAGTATGGTTTGTTCAATCACCGAGAAGATCTCAACAGCTCCCCCTTAGGGACAAGTACCTCCCATGCCAATTAAAATCAAAAGCAGTCACCCAGAATTTATGTCTTTACTATTTAATTTCCTTTTGCTTTTCAGGCACAGCTGCAGTGACCCTATGCACTTCTGAGCACAGAATGAGCATGATTTACACACAGGGGTAGGCTATCCCTTAGTGGGAGGGGCACCAGGTGGCTTCAGGCAGGATCCATAGCTGTATTAAACAACTATCCATTAGCAAGAGAGACAGTGACAGTTCTGGGCAGGGGAGAAGTACACACACTGAAGCAGAAGAGGGTGCAGGGCCTGAGAATTCATCTTCAATCCAGTAACTTCCACCTACTAGAGTAGAACCTCAGAGTTATGAACACATTGGGAATGGAGGTTCATAACTCTGAAATGTTCATAACTGAACAAAACATGGTTATTTCAAAAGTTTACAACATTGACAATACAGCTTTGAAACGACTATGCAGAAGAAAAATGCTGTTTTACTTTTTTTAGTAGTAGAGGAATAGAATATCAGGGTTGGAAGGGACCTCAGGAGGTCATCTAGTCCAACCCCCTGCTCAAAGCAGGACCAATCCCCAGACAGATTTTTACCCCAGTTCCCTAAATGGCCCCCTCAAGGACTGAACTCACAACCATGGGTTTAGCAAGCCAATGCTCAAACCACTGAGCTATCCCTCCCCCCATTTAACACAGTACTGTTCTTGCTTCCCGCCCACCCGCCGCTGCCGCCTGATGGTGTACTTCCAGTTCCAAACAAGGTGTGTGATTGATTGGTCAGTATGTAACTCTGATGTTCCTAAGTCTGAGATTCTACTATAGTTATTTTCTGGGGTAAGTTGCTCCAGCTCCTCCAGCAGCACAGCCCAAGGAGTCAAACCTTCATCCCCAGTGGTTGCAATGCCTATATCATCATTCACAAGGCCCAGGGTCAGATCAGCCAGTAGCAGCGCTCAGACACCTCCACCTAGCTGTGCCCACACCCTCTTCCTCCTGCACTTCTGACCTGCAGCAGCTGCAGTTTCAGGCAGCATCTACGCAGGCCCCTCTCCTGCCTGGCTCCACTACCCTACCGAGAGGCTCACGCAGCCCCACATCTCTGGAGCCTGTTACACACCAGGTGCGAGGCAGGCCCTGCATGCCCCATCAGCTCTTCTCCATGCTCCCGCCTGTGGACAGAGCTGCTTCTTCAAGCCAAGGCCATGCCCCCCACCCTTACACGTGCTGCCCCCCTTAGAGGTTGCCAAGCATCCAGTTTTCAACCAGAATGCTCAGTTGAAAAGGGACCCTGGCTCTCCAGTCAGCCCCGCTGACCAGGTCATTAAAACTCCAGTTGGTGGCTCAGTGGGGCTAAATGGTTCCCTGTGGCTCCTGGAAATGTCCAGCATGTCCAGCTTCTAGGCAAAGGAGCAGCCACGGGGGCTCCGCTCACTGCCCCCACCCCAAGTGCAGGCTCTGCAGCGCCCATTGGCTGTGAACCACAGCCAATGGGAGCTGAGCGGGTGGCACCTGCACACATGGGCAGTGTGCAGAGCCCCCTGGCCCCTCTGCTTCCAGGAGCTGCTTGAGGTAAGCACTGCCCAACTGGAGCCCAAACCCCTTCCTGCACTGCAACCCCCTGCCCAAGGTCAACCCCCCCCCACACACACACACACCCACCCAAACTCCCTCCCAGAGCCAGCACCTCACCTCCCACACCTTAACCCCCATCCCAGCCTTTCACCCCCAGCCTGGAGCCCCCTCATGCAGCCAAACTCCCTCCCAGAGACTGCACCCCAGCCCGAATCCCCCCACACACACCCTAATCCTCTACCCCAGCCCTGAGCCCCCTCCTGCACCCCACCCCAGGTCAGAACCCCCTGCCACACCCTATCTCCCTCCCAGAGCCGCCCCCCCCCGACACCCTAACCGCCAGCCCTTCACACGCCTGTCCCTGCCGGATTAAAGTGAGTGAAGATGGGGCGGGGCTCAGTTTTGAGGGTGTGGCATGAGAAAATGGGTAACCGTAGCGCCTGCCCCAGGGGGCCGCTCTTACCTCCGCTCTGGCACCCCGGGGGCACCAAGTCCACGTACAGTAAGTGGGTTTTGGTGGTTTTAGTTCGAACCCACCAGAGCTACGCCAGAGAACGAGGTCACACCCCCCCCGGACTGCGACCCACGGGCGGGGGAGGCGTGGCCCGGCGGCCACCCCCCTCGCCGGCAGAGGAAGCGCGGATAGGCCTCGCGTTATACACCGCCCGTCCCCGGCGCTTCCGGGCTGCCCTCGAGCGGGCACCTCAAGCCGGGCCAGGCCCAGCCGAGGCCGCCCGCTCCCACGGGGGCTACGACTGGGAGCGTAAAGCCCGCAGCGGGCACATTTCTAGGTCGTTCCCCGCTGGGGCGCGCTCCGCCCAGCCTCCTTTATGGGCTGGGCTGGCAGCGGTGAGGGTTAAAAGCTGATTGGGCGGCTGCCATGGTTGAAGGCGGGCGGGCCGGTCTGGTGCTAGTTAGCGGCCCGTGCGCGCACTATAGCCGCCCAGTCAGGCCTACGCTAGTTTCTCTTTTCTCATGAGCGTGATGATGGCACTAAGCTGGGAGCGGGCTGGGCGTTTCCCTGCAGCCTGGTCCCTATAAAATCGGGACATCTGGTCACCCTAAGCCTGGAGCCCCAGGGAGCGGTTGGTCGGGACCCTCTCTGCACGCCCCCGGCAGCCGGGCGGGGCGGGCGTGTTTCACATGACAGGGCTAATGATGGAGTCTTGTTGCCATCATGTGGCTAAATGTGGGAGCTAAACTAATGTAAAAAGAAACGTTATCAGCTAGAGATGGAAGGCAATAATCTAACACGGGGGTAAATCCAGGGAACCCCCTTTGCTAGTTTTTTTTTTGCAAAGCATTAGTTAGTGCAAAAGAAGCAATTGTGTATATCAACAGTATTCTGAATTATAGTTGTGTATAGATTATTCACATGCTGGGGATGGGCCGTGGTTTGGTTTCACAAAATCAAAAGCCGAGATGGTTCAGCTCTGGATTACATTTTAATTGAATGACTAGTGGGTTGTGGACAGAGCTAATAAAACCTATTTCTGGTTTTGGTACATCTTGGGCAACTGTTATATATATGATTTAAGCACTATTGGTTGGCCATATATGAAGCACTTGCTTGCTGCCTAAAAGATGCAGTTAAGTAATGATGTATGGATAGACCCTGAGGATGTTGTCATTTTAGGAAAACTAGCTGTTGTGTGCATTTGAGGGTTTGTGAGGCTCACAGATGAAGTGGGTCTCTAAAAAGGATCTGAAAAAGAGGGTTGGGGGCTTTTGGTTCTGTGGTTAGGAGATCATTCTGTATATAAGCAAGATGGAAGGAGGTGTAAAAAAATGGAAGTGGGAGAAGAAAACAAAGGTGATGGAGGGGATGGTGTCATGACACCAGTTGAGCAAAGGAGACAAGAAGGGGAATACAGTAAGCAACTGATATGTAAGCCAGGGTGGAGCTTTGTAGGGCCTTGAAGCTGAGAACTTTAAATTTGATGGAGTGGGCAAAAGGAAAAGCAGGGGAGATATTTGAAGAGGAATGACAATGGCTGTTTTGTGCTGAATTACACTGTAGCTAAAGGCAGTGTTTGCAAGGAGGAGGTGAGGAACCAGGCTTTTCTGCTTACGGTTCCCCTCCTCCAGCCACTAGAAAAACTACCTGAAACTTGGCTCTTGGGGACCACATGGACTCCAGCCTGGCCTGGAGCCATGCTGAGCTGAGAATCCCCCTACAGCTCTGGCACTTTTATCATCCATAATTCTGAAGACAAGATGTCACTTTACATTGGTGATAGTTTTGCCAGTTATTGATATGTCCCCCCAACTATTTCCTTCTAATGAGTGCAACTGGCATGCTTTGCATTGGTGGGGGTAACAAATGTGCTCACAGCTGCACCTGCTACTCTTACTCATTTTTCTGAAGAAAATATTAATAAATATTCAGTGGGAAAAGGTGAAAATTGACCAGGTTTGGGTTTTTTTACATTAATTTACACAAAATGCCCTAACATACACAATACACTTGCTTTACAATTTAGCATTTTTGTTTTTAACTACTACTACTACTCATGTTTAGAGTCATGGCATGCAGGTAAACACCAGAAGAGTAAGCAGTGGTAGAAAAGAGATCTCCTATGTCATTCATTACTGTAGTGAAAGCCTGTGCACAATTATTGTAGTGAATCTCTTGCATGATGTCCCATGTGTCTACTGAATACCTGAGGTGAAGATCTGTGCCCTATTGAAGTTAGTGGAAGTTTTGCCAGACTCCAAGGTGAAATCCTGGTTCCACTGGAGTCTGTAGAATGTGGACATAAGAAGAATTAAGTAAAGAAAGTCCCAGCAAACAGAAAGGAGATGGGGTGAGTGAGGCATAAATTATCAGCCAGAAAGGAAGGAAAGCACTAATAAAATAATACTTTAGCACTCATATAGAGCAGCAGAAAGAATTAATCCAGCCCTAGCAATCTGCCTTTTAGGATGACAAGCTGTAACATATCTGTCAAAAGTAATTTATTTCATTTTAATTACAGTGTTTCCCAAGTCTGTTAAAGCCCTGCAGCACCTGTGCTGCTCTGGTAGGCAACAGATTCAGCAAAACACCTACAATAAATCAGCATTTACAACCTACATCCCACCCAAACTATGTAACAGATGAATGATTGCCCTTAATTGCAGTAGCATCATAATACAAGTTTGAACTGGATCACAGAGTTTTCTTCCCAAGAACTCTGAGAAGCTTAATGAGGCTTGAAGTAAGGGACCTGCTGCTCTGCATCACCCACAGTCATCATTTGTTTACAAACACTTATTTCTATGTTTAAAATGATTACAGCAGTGGACCCCAAGCCCAACAGTAACAGTGTTGTGAGGCTATAGCATATTGGTCAATACCTCTAGAACACTGTAGTATATTCTTATAACATCTGCATCCAATTTAAAATAAAGCTGACAGTAATGATCAGATATAATCTCAATTTATGGATAAAAAAGTATTCAGCAAGAACTTTTTTCATGGTTAAAAATGTATTTTGGTACTTATGCAAATACCTTGGCTCCTGAGTCTCCGGAGAAAGTGACTTTTTTGAGGCATGACCCACTGAAATCATAACCCACTGAAATCAATGGGAATCTCTCCATGGCTTTCCACAGGCTTTGGGTCAGGCCCTTAGTGCATGTATGCTTATTTGAATGGAGCAAATTGACAGCTTATACAGCTAACTATTTCTGCTCGTTATAAAACAGCTCTGTGTTTAATAGCATGTTATCTAAATCTCAACTATAAATGGTGCTATCATTCCACTACAATAACCCTGATAGGCGGTTTAAATGCCTGTGGCTTCTTTGAATTTAATATATATATATATATATATATATATATATATATATATTGTCTCTATTTCTTGTACTTC